CCTGAAAAAAGTGCTGCCACACATTATAGATTGCACACAGACGGGGTTTGTATCGGGTCGCCAGATCCTGGCCCAGCAGGTCTTGGAAGAGAGTCAATGCACAGGCAGCGCCGTGGCCTTTGTCTCCATAGACCTCGAAAAAGCGTATGACCGGGTCCTATGGGAGTTCTTGCTACAGGGAATGACGCACAAGGGGATAGGGGGGATATTCCGTAGCTGGGTTAGAAGCCTGCTGACGGGAGCAACAACGGTGATGCAAGTTAACGGCGCCCGATTGGACAAGCTCAAAGTTACCCGATCAGTTAGGCAAGGATGCCCACTCTCCCCGGGCCTCTATGCCATTTATATCGAGTCTATTCACGGCATTCTGAGGGCGGACGAAAGACTGATAGCCCTTATGACGGGACCGACAGCGGAGCTGCAATCGATGACATTCGTAGATGATTCGGGAGCAGTGATCTCCCCCGATGGCCCAGCAGCTGGCTATCCTTAAGGATGACCTCCAAACATTCTGTAAGTACTCCGGCACGCGGGTAAACTGGCAGAAATCAAAGGACATCCTCCCGCCAGGGTTCAACCCGCCAGAGGGATGGAACATCCCCACGGTAACAGATGAGAACGGATGGCGTTCCTGGGAGTGAATCTGACGCCGAGCTACGGTGGGGTCGAACAGATGGCAGTCCGAGCCACAGCGGCCGTGGCCCGACTCAAAGCATGAGTGCAAGAGGCAGCATGGGCGTCTTCGGTAAGGCCCTGGTTATCAAGAACTTGGTGCTTGCAACCTTATGGTACGCAGGTGCCGTGCATATGCCAGGCAAGCAGACCTTCAGATATATCAAGAAGGCGATCCATGCACACTTGTGGTCGAACAATGCGCGAGCAGAGGACTCCGTATGCAGAGTGGCCTGGAAGAAGCTCATCCAGCCAAGGCGCTTTGGAGGCCTGGGACTGCTGAAACCGGGACTGCAGATAATTGCCCTGCAGCTGCGCCAGTTGGTATGGCACTTGCTGGGCACAGTAGGGGGTGCCTGGCAAGAAAACACCAGGACCCACTTGGCATACCCATTCCAGGTACCTAGAAGTTCGGAAAAATATTTGGTGAACTCCGAAAGGTACTCCGAACTCCGAAAGGTACTCCGAACTCCGAAAGGTACTCCGAATAGGGTTTTAAATTTTAATGCCGTTTTATAGTGCTCTTGATTTTTTTTTTTGTTTTGTTTTGATGTTTGTATTATGAGCCTGCATTATTTGTTCGCAAAATTTTCGACAACATTGCTTGTGGTTCGGGCCTTCCATTAACCATCTCTCTTATTGGGAGGAAGCATCTGTGAACTCTGCAGCTGGCTCATTTGCAATCAGACTCGTTTTCAAACACACTTTTCACACATCTAAACAGTAACGCAGCACACTGGCGACATGCGCCCACTCAAAACTCAGAGATATGG